AATATTTAAAATGAAATTTTTACCACAAAATTGCTACCCTTCAATTTTCAAAAAAATTGTATGAAGCAAGAACTTTTAATCTTTCATTTTTAGAAAAAATAGGGCAGCAAATTAGGGTAAATTTCGTAAGGGAGAGCTAATTAATTAGCATGCAAGCATATCCAACAAACATAAAAAAAAATAATTTGACATAAAAGAAATGAAAGCACCAAAAATAATTGCAAAAGCAATTACAATAAAATGCAGTGTATTAGAATATAAGTAGGACACAACTGATGAAGTATGTACTGATAAAAAATCCTGTTGATGAAACGATGTTATTAACACACTTTTTACGAATCGCAGAAATTATTTTATAATGAACAATTAGCCATAAACATATTATTAACTGTAACAGTAACAATGACAATCATTAAAACTTTTCAATAAGTTAATTCCCAGCACCAAATCTAAAAAAATCGTACCACACTTCTTCATAAGCCAGTCCTCTGGTAAAAGACAATATGTTCCAGTAGGATCTACATCTCCTAAGGTAGGTAATTTTGCAGGTCTTCCATATTTACTTCTCCATCGAGATGCTGCAAGCTGACCTTTATTTGTAGTAAAATAGGTATTTCACTTACATTATGTTCACACCATCTCTATCCTGGATGGCCCAAAAAAACAAAACTATTTGCTTAAAAAAACAACAAGTAAATACAATTCTAAGATTTGTGCAAATACAAAGTTATTTTTTCTAGACCATCCATATTATGATATATATGTTGTGTATGTATTTCTATCATCATATAAATATTAAAAGCAGCTTAGTGCATAACAAAATGTTTAAAAAAATCAATTGCAGCTGAAAATAAACAGAGTAAACACATACACGATACACATTTAAAGTTAACTAGTAAGTCCTGCGAATAATTACCTTGATATTCCTCTTTAACCAGTTTTGATTGAAATTCCTGTATAGCAGTAAGAAGTACAATACGTTCTTCGCTATTCAATCTTAATACAAGTTCTTGAGCTTGCAATTTGGAAAGACCCTGTGTTGTGCTAGTAGTTTCAGCTCGAGCAGCACTTCCATTTAACTTACAACTAGTACTAAAATCTTCTTTATTATTGTATACATCTTGCTTTCTTATAGGTATATCTACATTCAAAAATGAGCTGAAGCCTGCATCTCTATTTATAAAAGGCTTCTTACTGAGTATCGTACTAAACGTTCTATAAGAGAGGTTAAGAATTTTTGAATTTAATTTTAACACTCTATAAATACTAATTGCCATTTTTAAATAATATGTATTCTAAAACGCAATATACCACATATTATTATTTAATTAAACTAAAAACTTAAGACTGCAACAAAATAAACGCACATAATTAGAAATGATTCAATTCCCAACCATACTAACTGCATAATATTTGCATACCTCTATGAATTATAATCATAGATGGGAATAATAATTCGAAAATGAAGACTCAGATTAATTTAAATATCCATTTAGCCAGTATTAAGAAACAAATTTCTAAATCATCAATATGTTCAATAATCATTAATTTTTATATATTTATGTAGATAAACGATAAATATAAATCAACTATTACATTTATATTCGTTTCTATCGCATATATTTCTAATTTAACGGTTAATTGTTTGTTGTTAATTACTATGTTCGCAATTTTGTGTCAGCAATGCCCAGCGAAACACATACCAATAACTGCACCCCAGTAATTAATAATCCAACTAAATTTGCCGCCTGCAAAAAAATCTTTATAACAATTTTTTACAGGTATCATTGGTCTCTTGAAAATTAAAAAAATTATAAAAAAAGGTTTTTACCGTTAAATACTGGTTTTCCAATACTACTGCATAAAGTAGCCAAAAGAAAGACATCAGAAATCCCATTAGATTCATGGGGTACGATATAAATGTCACATCTTTGGTGAAAATAGCTTCAGGCTGCAAAAATATAATTCATTATAAAAATCAGAACTTTCTGTTAACAAAAAAATCTAAAAGCAAAGAAAATGAAAAAGTACCAGCTGCAATAGTGGCATACTCATATACATGATATACAGGGTGACCATTAACAAACCGAATCTACTTTTTATTTTTCCGGGATCTTCTGTGTGAGCATAGACAAAGGAAATAAAAATTACTGCAATCGCGTATCCCATTGGCATATAAATTTCCGTCCACTGATCCTGAGCATATTTGTGAAACGTTAACACATACAAGGTGTTCATAAATGCTGCTATCAGATTCACGTAAAATATTGTTAAATTATTGATTATGTCACCATACTTCATGCCAATCAAATTCCTTAAACCATTACAAACTAGTTATCGTTTAATACAAAGAAAATTAAAAACAAAAAAAAGGTTCATCAAGTAATATCTTCTACTTCTGCGTTCGTACTTCCAAACATTAAATTTAGTTAACGTAATATAATTATTTATAATACTGAAGGCAATTATACATTATTANATAAAATTGTAATAAAGTAATGGATAATTTTCTTACATCATAAAATTTCCTGCAAAAGCATGTACAGGGTGTCCATGATTCGATGCGTCTTTTAATACTACATAAGCCAGTACAATTCCAATAGTACTGTAAAGTAACGAAGAGATAACACTCACAAACCAAATCCAGTCTGAGATAAAAACTAAAACTTCTTTGTAATCAAAAGATGGACTATGTTCCTCGTCACATAAATTATATCTGTTAATTAAGACGTCTTCTCCTTCTACCCCGTTTTCGCTATTATTATCTCTAGCTGTGTATCTAGCCATAACGTGTAATTTTTCAAAGCCATATAAACTTTTGATCTAATTGCTAAATTATTTTTACTTCATTTTAAAATTTTGATATGCCTAACCAAATTTGCAAATCAAAGTGACTTTTTATTAATTTTGACTTATTTCTATAGAGCACGTACTTGAAAACAAATAAAAAAACAAAATTAAATTTTAAAAATTTATTTCTTATCTTATACACTTACTTATCTTTTAAGTAATTATCCTCAATACATAGTTGTAAATATGGTTGCATACACATGTTTAGAAATCTCATTTATTTTATCGTTAGTTTATTGCGTTTATTTCTTCATTAATTAATTTCTCCCTTATTAAACGAGCTGAAACTACTAAAATGTATTAAAATTCTTATAAAGCATCACTGAAAAGAAAGAAATAGTTGAAAATTAACTCATCGCACCTTCAACTCCCAATTGAAAAGATTTGAATACAAAATAGCGGAAGAAAGATAAATAGAATTAAATTAGTAAATTCTTAAATATTGTTCTAAAGCGGATTACGTAAATTTATTGCAGTTCACGAGATACATCCCTGAATATAAGTGGTAGATGCAGTTGTTTTTTATCTGAGGGATGAAATCCGAGCAATGTCGAGTTTATACGAAGTCTTAATGAATTTTTCCGAACAGGTAGCATCAAAATGGCCGTCTAGGTACCTGTGAAATGTTTACGAATCACTAAGTTTGTGAATAATTTGTTCAATAAAATGGGAAATATATTTGAATGATTACTTAAACGTAAGTTATATTTCATTTTTAAACAATTTTTGATTAAATTTACCTTCTGCTATTAGACAATTGCCCAAAAACCAGCATACATTTACTTTTAGTAATAAAGTTAATATTTCTTTTATTGTAAGCCATGGAGATAATTTTTGGTTTATTTTTGAACTAAATTAATTACAATTAAGATCATAGATAATAAAAAAAATGTTGAATTATATGTATTAAAACAAGTACGCTTTTTTGTATGCATACTTATAATAATTTAAATGTCTAATAGCAAGAGCAAAATCAGGTTTATGAGTTTTTTATTGTTGCAAGTAATTAAACAAGTTGTTAGTGAAGTTAATATATAAACCTGTTTACAGACAGGGGGTTAAGAAAATTCTGTATTGAACTACTAAAGTTTTCATTTAATTTAAACCAATTACTTTAAAAAATACAAAAAAAATGGGCCAAGAACTGTATAATAATGTGATAGGTCCTATATGCTGATAGACAGATGATTCATTTTTCACCCCTTACAAAACAGCATTTTTTTCGCTTCATTTCTTCCGGGCCAACGGTCTTCACGTCCAACAACTGTTACTTTAGGTCAATATCTCATCTTGTCCACAAGTCTACATGCAATCCATACGATACGCCGTTGTTTGTCATCTATTCAAGTAAAATAAAAACTGCTCGAAAACTGATTAAACTTTTATGGCTTTGAAAGACGAATCCCTCTGAATCCCTAAATAAAACAAATCCTTTTGCATTGTACCTAGGCTGACCTTGCTTTATTATTTCTGCAGCACTTACAATTAATCATATTAAGCAAAACAAAGGCATTTAAATTTAATTGGGGATACCCACAGTTAGTTTTATTAGGTTTTTCTAACTTTAAACTATTTTAATATAAAATTTATACAAAGACCTACGGAACTTGTTCTTTTTATACAACTACCTATATCAATTTCGCTTCGTGATGAAATTTTGTTAAGCTGAGTTAGTAAAAGTAACTTTTAATCTTACTCAACTTATAATTAAAAGATCGTAGAAAGCGCAAGTTTAGTTTTTGCAATGACTGACCGTGTACATGTATATAACGTTTTCGCAATTTTATACAGGACCGTACAATAATTTTAATTTTGCAAGTGAAATAATCAATCTAATGTCTTAAGGTGACAAGCAAACTTCTTAAGAAGTACATTTGTCAATTGAGACACTTGTGGTCAATATACCATTAAGTATATTGCTAATAACAACACTATTTCTTCTAAAAGATCATTAATAATGTGAAGTACGGTTCTGGTACATTAAAGGATTAAATCAGTATTCTCAGTTCGTATCAAAGCGAAATAAATTATTATTCTAGGCAGATAAACATGTAACATAAAATCTTCATTTTAAAAAGGAATTCTTATTTGCAATGTTTAATTCATTCTAGTACATGCATTACTACATGACATATTTTATAATACGAAATTCACTTTTAACAATAAAATATAATACTGCATAGAAAATTTATTGATATTGTACGTAATTATAGGCAAAACTTTTTTTTTTGATAATATACAGTTAGTAAAACATTTATTCATAAGTTTAGAAAAAAGTTTGTCCATTACAAAAAAAAATTGGTAGTGGTATTAAAATTAACAGCACTCTGGTGAATAAGGAACGTTAAAAATTATTATGATGAGGAAATAAATCAATTTTCCAGGAAGTTTCTAACGTCTAAGTATTGGTTTTCGAATACCCAAGGCTCAGTACTTAATCAATTAGGTATATGTCATAAATGCCATAATTTATGGGATGTGATTAAATTGCAAATTATTCGTTTATGCATTAAATACAGCTTCTCGTTAATTTACATTCAATCGAAATCATTTTGCGTGAAAATAAGAGACTCACTTACACTTTAATTAATATATTCATTTGCTGTTTACAAATAAAACAAATAAAAGTAAAAGATCAACTATGTTTATTATATTCAGTAATACATGAATGATAGTAAATCCTTTGTTTTTGAAGTTTACAGTGATTTCGAATGGCTTTTGTTTTTGCGTTAATATTATATATAAAAAAAATATGAGTGCTGTCAGGACAGGACAAAATAATATTACGTAAATGAATGTTAGTTTCAGCAATTTCTTATGTTGAAGTGTACGATGTGTGGCATACCTATTTACAAACAATTCCTTTAAATTTTAATTATTAATTACTATACATCTATTAAAAAACCATAATGGCCGACATCAGTGACAATGCGACAACAATTGAAAAAGAATGATGGCCGACAACTGCAACAATTAGAAAAGAATGATGGCCGACACTACGTCATAATGGAGCTATAGAAATGGCCGGGGGCAGGGGGAAGAACTAGTTCAAGTTAATTTAAATGTATTTAACTTTAACAAGTTCGAATTTTACTCGTCAAAAGGACAATTGTCTTTATATGAATTAATAACTTTATACATCTATTAAAAGACCATAATGGCTGACATCAGTAACAATGCGACAACAATTGAAAAAGAATGATGGCCGACAACTGCAACAATTAGAAAAGAATGATGGCCGACACTACGTCATAATGGAGCTATAAAAATGGCCGGGGCAGGGGGAAGAACTAGTTTAAGTTAATTTAATTATATTTAGATTCAATAAGTTCGAATTTTACTCGTCAAAAGCACAAATGTCTTTATATGAATTAATAGCTTTTTTCTCTTAAAGGTTATTTAAATTTTAATTTCATTTAGTTAGTGTTTCACCTTTTAAATAAAAGTTTTACTTTGAACATATAGGAAACAAAGCGATTCTATCTAATTGTGAAATCCATTTCATTATCCAAGGTATCGAATGGATTAGCCAAGTTCCTGAATTAATCCGCAAATTTATTCACATGTTAACAGTTACAGCCAAAATAAATCGTTTTACATTTTACATCTTCAGTTGCTTCATTTGATATTATCGTTGAACATTTTTTCTTTAAATTACTGCCGCTACTGCCATTAAATTTGCATATTGAGTTAAGATAGAACTCTTTTGCCGAACTTGTATAATATATTATCCGAATATCTTAGGTATGTATCGCCGTTTGTTCATTATATTAAAAAAAAAAAATAATGACATGCTTTTCCATAAAAAATAAAATAAGAATTGACTAGCAACCTTATTTTGAACTTTTCATCTATAAAATGTTGTCTATTAATTTTTCCTAATTTTATAATCAGTTACTGCTGAGAAAAGCATGTAGAAATATAACTGAAGCATGCTGTAGAATATATAATTGGAATTCCTTAGTCTATTAATTTTGCTGAGAACCCGTTTTTCTGGCGTCACTTTATTAAGATGCACATTATTATAAGTACTCGAAACTGTATCTGAAAGAACATTTTAATACCCCGTAGATAGATAGAAGTATTCGTTTTGCGCAATTAAATTAATAAAACATGTTCCTAGCCACGAATGTCGAAATGGAGCGTAAAAGAATGAAAAGCAGCAGCCAGCTCAGGATGTTCGCTTTAACACGATCACTATTAAGTGCAATAGTTTTTAAGAAAGCTTACCTATACTAGACTTCACTATATTACGTGATCCACTTTTATTTTGTTAATAAATTACAACATCGTTGTACCTTAACCAATAAACTTGAAAATTGTTTCAACAAGATTAACAATGTGATAACTTTGGCATGTTTCTAAATTGCAGACAACATTTACAGAACATAATTATATTTACCGGTTCATTTATTAGTACAAGATGTTGATACATAATATGAACTATTTTAAATAATTGCTTACTTTTATATTAGAGTGAGGAAACCTCATAAAATTTATCCTGTTATTGATACTCTTAAAAGAAAATCCTTTCTGACTTTTCGATATGAACAACCAGACTGGAACATTACCAATTCAATACATATGATTTTTTTAAGATTACATGAACTTAAAACTTTTTATTTCTTTTGCAGAAAATGAAACCACGACTGATTCTGGATAGTATCGATGAAGATTAATTAACATGTTCATCGTAACGAACAATGGTCATAGAAAACTCTCTCATGCGTGAGGGAATACCAAGAATACGATTTATTATTGCTTTTATTTTGGCGTCAACACTTTTAGTTCCTACCACAAGATCGTACTTGATCCTAGTAAACGAGACCAGTTTGCCAGGTGATGTAATTTTCGATGCATCAGTATACAGACTAGGATCAGAAAGGCACTATCACATAAACAATCATCGAACAGCACCCTTCGTTCATTCCCTTGTCCACGTACATCAGAAGAATGGACTCGTTTCTCTACGAGATAAATTACTTTGCGATGGCATTTACTATCCCCAAATGTTTACGGTGTACATTGACTCTACTTCGAACAGACTGAAAGATGTAGAATATTATAGCTTACCTTTAAGAATATTTATAATAGGTGATAAGTGTAACTCATACAGCAATCATGACAAATACTTAATTGAAGAGAGTAGTAGAGAAAAACGATCTTTGAATAATGAACAAAGTATTAGACGAAAAAGATTTGTAAATAGTCCTTTAAGCTATCATTACTCTGTAAAAAATTTATTAGCCGAGGCTAAAACATGGATTGCTGAATCTTACGCATCTTTCTCCATTCCTACAACTGATAAATGGCAAAGAATATGCCTAAGAAACTCTCAGTACATAAATTCCCTCACTGCCTTCCTACCTAAAACAATCCAAACTTATTGCTCAGTAGATTATTTACACGTAAGTGATAGTAGATTTAAGATAGAAAAATCACAAGGAGATTTAGTAGCGAGCGGCAATATTTGCATATCAGAGCCCCTCTGGAAGATTGTGATACTTTTTAACGTACTATGCCGTGACGTCCCTATCTTGGATTCAGAACATCGCATTAAGATAGTTTATCATCATCAAAAATTCAACGACACTGATATAGCAAAGAGAGTTCGAAGAGAACTTAGAAATCAGTCTCCTTTCTTTGAGCAACATCTTTATGTTGTAAGTGTTCTTGAAGAATGCGATCCGGGGATCGTTGTAACGACTGTAAGGGCGAGGGATCCAGAGAACAGTCCTGTAACATACTCCATGACCAGCCTGTTAGATTCTCGTACTCAAAGCATGTTCGATATAGATCCAAAAAGCGGAACCGTAACGACCAAAGTAAAACTAGATCGAGAATTAGTTGATGTCCACTATTTCCGAGTAACCGCCACTGACGACAGTTTTCCTCCAAGATCAGGAACCACAATGTTACAAATAAATGTACTCGATGCTAATGACCACTCCCCTGTTTTTGAAATGAATGAATACGAAGCAAGTATTAGAGAAGGTGTTACTGTGGGCACCACAGTAATAACTTTAAAGGCCACTGATCAGGATATCTTGAAGAATGGTGAAGTTGAATATACAATTAAAAGCATCAGTGGAGGGGGCACATCTACAAACGAGGAAGACAACGAAGCTTTTAAAATCGATTCCAAATCAGGGGTTATTTCTACTAGAACAATGCTTGATAGGGAAACCACCGAAGTTTACACTTTGATCGTCCAAGCTTCTGATCTGGCTAGTCCTCAAAGTGCTCGAAGATCATCAAGGTGACTACAATAAAGATCATATATGTACATATCTATACCATTGAATGTTTTATTATTTGTTTAGTGCCACTGTAGTTATTAAAGTTTTGGATGATAACGATAATTATCCCCAATTCTCTGAAAGGACTTACAGCGTTTCTGTAGACGAAGATGTTAATTATATCAATAACCATGTAATTGCGACAATAAGGTAAAAAAACAGGCTTATCCCAAAACGATTTGGGTGGGTTATATTTATTTCTTTTAGAGCAACGGATGCTGATCAAGGCAACAACGCGGCCATAAGATATGCCATAATAGGAGGCAATACTCAGTCTCAGTTTGCCATAGACAGTTTAACTGGGGATGTATCGTTAGTGAAACCTTTGGATTACGAAACCATTCGAAGTTATCGTCTGGTAATTCGAGCTCAAGATGGTGGGAGTCCAGCCCGATCGAACACTACTCAACTACTAGTAAATGTGAAGGATGTTAATGACAACGTACCACGGTTTTATACTTCCCTATTTCAAGAAAGCGTATCCGAAAATGTTCCTGCCGGTTACAGTATAGTAAAGGTACAGGCTTATGATGCAGACGAAGGTCCTAATGCTGATATTAAGTACACCATATCACCCAGAGATGCCATTGGTGCAAGCACTGAAGATATTCCTTTAGCAGTAGACTCTCACACGGGCTGGATTTATACAACAAGAGAAGTGGATAGGGAAGAACAGTCCAAGTACATGTTTCAGGTAAATATAAAATAAATTGAATTTTTGCGAATGACTGACGAACAAAATATTGAAAATAAAAAAAATTTCAGGTGATTGCAGCTGATCAAGGAACTCCACCTTTGTCTGCAAGTGCTAGTGTTGTTATTACGGTACAAGATGTAAATGATAACAACCCAGTTTTTGAGCCTAAGACCTACGAGGCGATGGTGTCAGAAAGTGACCCTCCTGGTGGGTATAAACTCTTTTCTAATAATATCGAAATTTTTAATTCTGTTATATTAAACTAAAATAATTGAAATATATTTTTTAGGAACTCCTGTTGCAACTGTAACAGCAACGGATGCGGATGAAGATAATCGTCTACATTACGAGTTAACAAACGGAAATATCAGGGGTCGATTTGCCATAACATCGCAGAATGGAAGGGGATTGATCACCGTAGCCCAACCACTTGATTATAAACAAGAGAAAAGATACATTTTAACAGTTACGGCTTCTGATTCAGGGGGAAGAACTGATACTGCCACCGTTTTTGTTAACATTTCTGACGCCAATAATTTTGCTCCGGTTTTTGAAAATGCTCCCTACTCTGCCAGTGTAAGTCACTTTTAATCTTTCGCTTTAGTAAATAATACGATAAATGTTACCACATTTGCAATAAAATCATTTTTATCTTACAATTAATTAATTCTATTATGTTTTAAGAAAGTTAATAACAGTTATTTTTTGTTTATTTAGGTGTTTGAAGATGCTCCGGTAGGTACGACTGTCCTTGTTGTATCGGCAACAGATAACGACGTGGGTATTAACGCCCAAATAACATACGTCTTGGGGGAAGAATTAAGTGATGTTGATAGAACACCGGCGTTTTCCATAAATCCACAAACAGGCGCTATCGTAACGACAAAACCGTTAGACCGCGAAACCACGAGTGGCTACTTACTAACTGTAACGGCGCGTGATGGTGGTAACCCCCCCATGTCCGATACTACTGATGTTGAAATATCTGTGACGGATGTTAACGACAATTTTCCAGTTTTTAAACAACAAGCATATTCCGGAAGCGTCTTAGAAGATGCTCTCATAGGTAACAACCCGAAAATGCATTCTGGTAATTATTTTTATCTGTAATTCCGATATCTTTAGGGACGTCTGTTGTTCAAGTTTCTGCCACTGATGCAGATATCGGTTTAAATGGACGGATTCGTTACACATTGAGTGAAAAGGATTTAGAAGACGGATCGTTCGTTATTGATCCTATAAGCGGCGTTATTCGAACAAATAAAGGTTTAGACAGAGAATCTGTAGCAGTTTATGAATTGGAAGCGTATGCAATCGATAGAGGATCACCTTCTCTCAGTAGCTCCGTACCAGTAACAATTCGTATTGAAGACGTCAATGACAATCCACCAGCATTCGAAGCAGACAAAATAACGCTTTACATTCCAGAAAACAGTCCAATAGGTAAGCATTTAAAGAAAAATAAAAATAAAGTTGTTATTGGTTTTGCTTATTAGGTTCTACTGTTGGTGAAATTTATGCAAAAGATCCTGACGAAGGGGTGAACGCTATAGTTCAATATTCTATAATTGGAGGGGATGATTCTCAATACTTCAGTTTGATAACTCGACCAGGATCCGAAAAAGCGGAACTTCTTACAATGACAGAACTGGATTATGAAAGTCCAAGGAAACAGTACGATTTAATTATAAGGGCTGCAAGTCCACCCCTAAGGAGCGACGTTCACGTGGAAATAATAATAACAGATGTCAATGACAACGCGCCTGTTCTTAAGGACTTTTTAATTCTGTTTAATAATTTTCAAGACCATTTTCCGACCGGTCCCGTAGGGAAAATTCCAGCTTTTGATGCTGATGTGTCTGACAAATTGAAATACAAAATTTTATCAGGAAATAACGCGAATTTGGTGGCTTTAAATGAAACTAATGGAAAGTTACAGTTATCTCCACAACTTAATACTAATGTACCCAAAATGGCTTCAATGGAAGTATCCGTCACAGGTAAATTTTTAATTTATTTTGAATTAATCATAAAAAAGGAAAAATACTTTTTTTTTTTGCAACTTAAAACACACAACAAAACTTTGATATTAACTTATATTAATGTGGTTGTTAAATTAATATAATTATTGTTGTTATTACAGATGGTGTAAATGAAGTAAAGGCAATTATGCAACTCGTAGTTCGATTAATTACAGAAGAAATGCTTTTAAATTCCATTACAATCAGATTAAATAAAATGACTAAAGAAGCATTCTTATCTCCACTTCTTGGCTATTTCATAGACGGTTTGGCTGCAATAATTCCTTGTCCAAAAGAAAACATTTTTCTTTTTAATATTCAAGTAACATAATTTTTTTATATTTGTAATCACTTTTTTCTAATTTTTATCCGCTTTTTATTTAAGGATGATACTGATATAAACGACATACATTTGAAAATTCTTAATGTTAGCTTTTCTGCGAAGCGCGCTGATGTTACTCACGATGAATTTTACACTCCACAATTTTTACAAGAAAGAGTTTATCTTAATAGAGCAATCCTAGACAGACTTTCGACAGTTCAGGTAAGTTATTTTTTGTTATTGATAATTCACAATAATTATTGTACATATGTACATAATTTTATTGCCCTGCAGGTTTTGCCTTTTGATGATAATCTCTGTGTGAGCGAACCGTGTTTGAACTTTGAAGAATGCCTTACAGTTTTAAAGTTTGGAAACGCATCTAATTTTATAAGTAGTGACACGGTTCTTTTTCGACCTATTTATCCTGTTACAGCTTTTACTTGTCGTTGCCCAAATGGATTTACTGGTAAATGAATATTAATAATGAATACGTTCATTTTAAACTATTACCAATTGATCTTTTAGGGTCAAGAGAACATTATTTGTGTGATACAGAGGTCAACCTATGCTATTCTGCCCCTTGCCAGAATAACGGAACATGTAAAAGAAGAGAAGGTGGTTATACATGTGTTTGTCCACCAGAATATACAGGTAAGTAAATAATTTTTTCATCTCTGGAATATCACCCCAAAAACTATTTTAGGGATAAATTGCGAAGTAAAATTGTCATTTGATCCATGCAAGCCAAATCTTTGTAAAAGCGAATCAACCTGTAAACCACGAATTAATGGGGGCTTCAAATGTGAAGACTGTGTTTTGGTAGCTGGTTCTGAACATTACACTCCACTATGTGAACTTAAAAGTAGAAGTTTTACTAAAAATTCCTTTCTCACTTTCCCAAGTTTAAGACAAAGACATCGCTTACACCTTCACTTGAAGTAAGTACCTGCAAATCTTTTAAAATTCCATTATACATTTATTTATTTATTAAATAGGTTTGCTACGCAATCGAGAAACGGTTTATTACTTTATAACGGCCGTTACAACGAACTGCACGATTTTATTTCATTAGAAATTGTTGAAGGAAATGTACAGTTTTCGTTTTCGTTGGGAAGCGATATTACGCGAACTACAGCTTCCATACCAGGGGGTGTTTCAGATGGACAGTGGCATACAGTGAAGGTTTTATATTTTAATAAGGTAAACAGTGTTATATTTCACTTGGGTTTGAATAATTATCGTTTATTTTTAATAACTTCACTGTTGTTCTTTTCTTTACGATTTTTTACTTTTTTAATTAGACTGCAACTGTGTCTTTGGACAATTGTGATACCGCATTGGCCTTAAAACACGGAGAAGAATTAGATGGAAAGTGGGCTTGTGCCAGTTATTCTGAGCATCATCTTGAACCAAAATGCGCCTCTGTAACTGAAACTTGTCATAGATTTCTAGACCTCACAGGACCTTTACAACTTGGAGGACTTCCAGCATTACCAGCTACTTTTCAGCCGTTTAATCATCACTACGACGGTTGCATATCGGAGTTCAAAATAGATTATAGATTTATCGATCTTAACAGGTACAAAATCTATATTATTGATTAAAGACAATGAACATTTGTATTATTTGTATGCCTTTTTAGCTTTGTAGCGGATAACGGAACTACACCAGGTTGTCCAGAAAAAAGATCGTTTTGTAGTTCACAACCTTGCAAAAATGAGGGAGAATGTAAAGACGGTTGGAATATGTACCACTGCATTTGCCCTGAAGGTTTTGGAGGAAAAGATTGTGGAGAAAGTGAGTTCTTTTAATATTTTCAATTCATACAGTAAGTTAATATTATTTGTTTAAGTTATAAGCCAGCCTTGGAGATTCTCAGGAGACGGTATGCTTTCCTTTAATCCTTTACTCAGACCCATACAGTTACCATGGTTGAATGCTCTTTCTGTAAGGACTCTACAATCCGACACGTTCCTCATGTCTATTCAAGTTGGGCAAAACAGTTCTTCTGTACTATCTGTAAGTTCACTTGCCATTAATTTAATGTAACGAGTAATTATGTATATCGTTTATATCACTAGCTTAAATCCGGTTTACTCCACTATTCCTTCAATGACGAGTCACTTAATCTAAGTTCAAATCCTCTTTCTGATGGTAACTGGCATCGACTGGAGGTCACCTGGCTGGGAACAGAAGTAAAATTATCAGTAGATTATGGAGAGCAGTTTAATGTCTATTCATTTTCTCCAAAAATACAAGGTCTGTATGTTGGGAAAATTCTAATTGGAGGACCGGATAACACCTACAACAGCTTAAGTGCAGGATACAATTATTTAGAAGGTAAACAACTCAAAAAAAATTAGTAACGTCAATAAAATTTTATTGCCCTTTATAGGTTGCATAGAAGATGTTCGTGTAGGGAATCACCAAACCGTGTTAAACAGACCCACTGTTAAAGAAAATGTAAAAGATGGTTGTCCGTCAGTTAAGGAATGCCGCAGTGAATGTCCTTCGACCGCCGAATGCGTAACAGAGTGGCGTAGTTCACATTGCGACTGTAAAAAAGGTCACGTAGGGCCCCTCTGCATTCCAGTATGTCACGTCAGCCCTTGTGAAGTGGGTGGAATTTGTGTAGAAGATTTTTACGGGGACAAGGGATACCATTGCAAGTGCAATTCTACTGAATACTCTGGTAAAACACGCGTAATATGGACTTAATTTTTATTTAATATTATACGGATTGTTTTTTAGGAGAATACTGCGAAGAAAAGGTATCCCAACCGTGTCCTGCGGGATGGTGGGGATACCCCGTTTGTGGACCATGCCACTGTGACGTCGAATCGGGTTACAATCCAGATTGTGATAAGGCAACGGGAAAATGCCACTGCAAAGAAAATCACTATCAACCTCCCAACTCAAAGAAATGCTTACCTTGTGATTGTTACTTGATTGGATCCTCCAGTGCTCAGTGCGACCGACAAAATGGAAATTGTCAATGTAAAGAAGGAGTAATTGGGCAGAAATGTGACTCTTGTTCAAATCCCTATGCAGAGATTACCTTAAAAGGATGTGAAGGTAATTTAAAATAACTAAAGTTATGTTTATTAAAACAACATTAAAACCATTTTTTTAATTAGTTATTTACGACGGTTGTCCAAGAAGTTCAGCTGAAAAGATTTGGTGGTCAAGAACTAAATTCGGTTTAGAGGCTATAGAAAATTGTCCTGCAGGGTCTCAAGGAAAGGCTTCCAGATCGTGTGATAATCAAATGGGAGGATGGCAAGAACCGGACCTTTTCAATTGTACTTCAGAAAGGTTTCTTGAATTGCGAAATCAGGTAAAAATATTATATATAAAAGAAATTACGAGTGCTGTCAGCACAGGGAAAAGTAGTATTACGTAGTTCGTATCGGCAATTTCTTGTGCTGAAGTGTACGCTGTGTTGCATACTTATTTACAACCAATTTCTTTAAATTTAATTTTTCAAACAATTTTTAACACAAAGAAAGTGATTAAACAAATTGTTCACAAAAGTGAATTTCGACCACTGGAAGCAATAGCGCTAACAGTTTCGAGCTCACAACGGCTTATAGGGGGGAATAACTAGTACTATATATAAAAGAAATTATCAACACAGGGCAAAGTAGTATTACGTAGTTAGTATCGACAATTTCTTGTGCTGAAGTGTACGATGTGTTGCATACCTATTTACAAACAATTCCTTTAAATTTAATTTTTCAAACAATTTTTAACACAAAGAAAGTGATTAAACAAATTATCCACAAAAGTAAATTTTGACCACTCGAAGCAATGGTGCTAACAGTTTCGAACTCACAACGGCTGATAGGGGGGGGAATAACTAGTAAATTTAAAAAACGTTAAATAGGATTTTATATTTTACCATTTGCATTATTATTTTTAAGCTTTCATTAATTGAAAGTGGAGATTTGGAACTTAACACTTTTGTTGCAATAAAACTAGCGACAGATTTGTACAAAGCCACAAACATGACTCAAATTTTATATGGAGCTGATGTTCTAATAACTCAGGATCTACTTCACGAACTGCTCAAACGTGAATCGAATTTGATTGGTCTCAATTTAACTCACAGCCAAGACAAGGATTTCATAAAGGTATATATAAATATAAATATTCCTCGAGTATTGTCAACTTTATAAACAATAATAAAAATAATGTTTATAGAATATTGTACATTCTACAAGTGTTATATTGGATTCAAAATATAAAAAACACTGGAACCGTATCAAAGAATTAACATCTTTATGTGTTGAAGATTTAGTACAGGCAATGGAACATTATATAAACGTGTTAACTTCTAGTCAACATGATACTTACACAAATCCATTTGAAATTTCTGCAACGAATATGGGTAACTCATTTTACACTTTTTTTTTTAAATTCTTTTTTAACATATTATTGCAGTACTAGGTTTAGACATTGTGACACCAGAATCGTTATTTGGCTATGAATCAGATCCAATATCAATTTTACCAAGTGACTCCACCTACACCACCGAAAAAGTTGTTCTTCCGGATACATCACAGTTTTTACAAAACGCTCCTATTGCTTCCGTCGGCCCTTTAATAACGTTCCCAAAATACAATAACTACCTCCAAGATTCTTCAAAGTTTGACAAGAACACAAAAATACTTGTACCTCTTAAATTGCTAGGCATTAAACCTTTGGACGTTGGAGAATTGACGACCAGGCACTCCCTTTCTGAAAGCAAAGCTGTTCTAAGTTATGCTCAGTATAAACAGGCTGGTCTGTTATTTCCCTACAACTACGACGATTCAGTTGTAAGAAGGTGGGGAGTAGACGTTACCATAGGATCTCCTTTAATTTCTGTTAGCATCTTGGTGCCTGAATACGTCGAGGCTGTCAATAAACCAAAAGAATCATCGTCGAATCTCCCGTTTCAAGATTATGATGAACAAACCACGCACATTAAGAAGGTGATAATTGAAGAAGCAAATAGACTACAAGAAAATGATTTACAAATGTATAGAATGGAAGGAAGGAGGATGAAAAGAGATCAAAGCTCAACGAAAAGACTGATGTATAAAAGTTTATCAGGCAAAAGACTGGAATTACCTATTAGACTGCAAATATGGCTTGATCCCAATATTACTATTTTTAATGAACGTTCTAATCCTCAATGTGTATTTTGGTCTACTGTAAGGGGGTAAGTTGTATTTTTACACAAATAGAAACCAAAAATGAAGCATAAAATTATTTTTTACTCTTGATACTTATTTTAAAAAGACAGTGCATATTTTGTAATATTTTTCAGTTTTGGAGAGTGGTCAAGAGTAGGCTGTAGAACTGAAGTTAGTGAAAGATGGTATGATCCTTACAATGACCTACCTTTAATAGTTAACTGCACTTGTAGTCATTTATCCACATTTGCAGTTTTAGTCGATATCGTTGATTTAGAGGTTGGTTGTCTGTAATACTCATTAAACAGTAATTTTCAATCTCTTATTTTTCTTCCACAGTTTATACCAGAACCTTCACTTCTTGAAGACGTAACAAGTTACAGTTCCTTTTGTATATCACTTCCACTGTTGCTTGCATCGTACTTAATCCTCGCCCTAATCAGAGGATTACAGACAAACTCTAACACCATACGAAAAAATTTGGTGCTGTGTGTTTTATTAGCAGAATTCTTTTTCTTTATAACTCTTAAAGCAAGAAAGTTCATGGTAAACGCACAGGTATTTATTTATCACATGCGTGATCTCATACATTATACGAATAATACTTTTAGTTTGCTTGCAAATTGGTAGCCATAAGTCTACATTACTTGTGGCTAGCAGCATTTGCTTGGATGTTGGTTGATGCGTTACATTTGTACAGAATGCTGACGGAAATGAGAGACATCAATCATGGTTCGATGAGATTTTATTATTGTGTAGGATACGTTTTGCCAGCCATCGTGGTCAGTCTTGCAGTGGGGGTTCGAGCTCATCAATATGGAAACTATTACTTGTAAGTTTGGTTTTTCTTTTTTTTTACACAATTGTAACTTACTAACCATCAAAAAAATGTTTTTTACATTCTGCCCATACGTTTTATTAGTTGCTGGGTGTCTCTTTATGAAAGCGTAATATGGAGTCTAATTGGACCAATTTGTCTAATTGTATTAATTAATATCGTAATACTAGTATTAGCAGTTAGAGCTGCATTCACTCTTCAAGATCACGTTCTTGGTTTCGGAAATTTAAGGTATTTTAATATACGTGTGCATTGATCTCGTTAATAATTTTAAATAATATGTAATTTTTAGGACACTGCTGTGGGTGTCAGTAGCTGCCTTACCACTAATGGGTTGTACGTGTATTTTGGCAATACTGACGGCTTCAGAACATTACCCCATACTCACCCCATTATTATCCATCGCAGTCTTAATCCATGCAGCTTTCTCTTTAGGGGGTTACTGCTTTGCAAACGCACGAGTTCGACAAAATCTTATCAGGTAAAATTGATGAATCAATTAAAAAGTCTCGGTTTCTATATAAGAAATACTTTATAGATCTATTATGAGATGTATGGGTAAAAAGGTACCACTGCTTGAAACCACTTCAACTGCAGGAATTGCCAGTACCAGCAGTCATAATATTAATGTTCAAGGTGTAAGTAAAGTTTCAAAAAAAAAACATCTAGTTTGTTAGTACAGCTAGCACTAGCACTCGTTAATTTTTTATCTGCAGAGATCCGCGTTGTCTTATCGAGGGCCTGGTTTTGAAAGTACGAGACGAAACGTTGGAATTTCAACTTCCAGCACTACATCGCGTTCCACCACCAAAACCAGCTCTAGTCCTTACAGGTAAGTGTCCATTTACTTAAAACTATTCCTTTTTTATTTACAAATACTACGCCTGAAATTTGTGAAATATAAATTTGAATTTATTTATTGCAGAAGCGATGCTCAACTGCGTCAAACTTCTACCAGTACTTCAAATTACAATTCCACCAGCGATGTGCCCTCTTATTTGCGTGGATTTGAAAGAGACGGAACACATCGTCGACATCGTGAAAGTAAGAATATAATGATTTTTTATAGGATTAAAGAATTTTATAAAATGTTTTTTAAATGCAAGTTTCTGAAAAAGAAGTGCAACGCGAACGTAGAAGAGAAAGCGATTCTGATTCGGACGGATCTGAGGGAAGAAGTTTAGATTTGGCGTCCAGTCATTCAAGTGATGATGATGAATCCAGTACAAACAGGCATCGAACCCGAAATACAGGTATAATAAATTCTACGCTATTAAACATTGCGTTCTCGAAAACGGCTCTTAATAATTGTAATGAAATTTGGTGTTTTGTGGCTGATAAATCGGTCCAGATAGGTGTCATTTGGGACAAATTAATGTAATTTAATATAGGGGTATTTTTTCAACTAAACTCCAAAACAAAACAAATGAGCATATATGCAACCCAATGTACACCGCGTATGTTCATGTTGTATAAATTAGATCAGTTAAAAATGCTGATACGTATAATTTAAAATTATAAATTAATTAATTGCAGGTGTTAGCACTACCCGACAAAGTTATCTACCAAACATAACAGAACACGTAGTTTCAAGATGTGGCACGCCGCCTTCCTTAAATATCGTCACAAATTCGCAATTATTTCCTGCAGTTCCTCCAGTTTATAGTTCCAGGTGGACAAGTCAGCTCCCTGAATCGTATTTACCAAATCCTAATGGTAATGATCTAGTTTTCACTTAGTACAGTCGTTCTAAATATATTTTCATTCATTCCAGTTCCTGAAATAGGACGTTGGTCTGCTGAAACAGGGTCAGACAATGAATATTCCCAAAAGGAACACTCTCCAAATCCATTACCAAATCCTCATATGGTTCCTGAGACTATGTTGTCTCCTGGTCATTCAGAACAATACATTGGTAGAATGCAATATGATCCACATTACATGAGCAACTCTAATGTATCGAAAAGTAACTACATAAGCAACTTAATATCACCCAGAGACGAGAATTATCAAGAATATTTGGAAGGCGGATCCGATGGTGAAGAAAAACATCACGTTAATGATAAATATTTATTCCCTTATACAGGTACGACTTTAGGAAAATTAACAGTTTTAAATAAATAAAAGAAAAGATATAGCTGCCTCTTGAGCCAAAAACAAACAAATGTGATAACTACATTTATTCATAATAGTTATAGCAAGTAAATTACTAGTAAAATTTTATTGTTTTTGGCTCATTCGTAAATAATTAAGTTACATTTTTATTGCTTAAAATTTATAGTAATTCGCTGCTTATTCTAATTTTTAAATCAGATGCAACACATTTAAATGGAAATATTAAAGGTATTGCACTTCCTTTTGCTTTTAATTTTATAGATGATTAACTATTGTCTTTAATGATTTTTTCTAGCTGAGGAGGATCATATTACACCTCACAGTTACGCGCCTCCTAACAGAATAATGTCTCCAGTATCAAATGATATTAACAATCCAGGTATATAAAATTTTTATTGGCGAAATTTGTATACATATATCACAAAAAAATATAAAGAATGCTGACGGAAATGAGAGACATCAATCATGGTTCGATGAGATTTTATTATTGTGTAGGATACGTTTTGCCAGCCATCGTGGTCAGTCTTGCAGTGGGGGTTCGAGCTCATCAATATGGAAACTATTACTTGTAAGTTTGGTTTTTCTTTTTTTTTACACAATTGTAACTTACTAACCATCAAAAAAATGTTTTTTACATTCTGCCCATACGTTTTATTAGTTGCTGGGTGTCTCTTTATGAAAGCGTAATATGGAGTCTAATTGGACCAATTTGTCTAATTGTATTAATTAATATCGTAATACTAGTGTTAGCAGTTAGAGCTGCATTCACTCTTCAAGATCACGTTCTTGGTTTCGGAAATTTAAGGTATTTTAATATACGTGTGCATTGATCTCGTTAATAATTTTAAATAATATGTAATTTTTAGGACACTGCTATGGGTGTCAGTAGCTGCCTTACCACTAATGGGTTGTACGTGTATTTTGGCAATACTGACGGCTTCAGAACATTACCCCATACTCACCCCATTATTATCCATCGCAGTCTTAATCCATGCAGCTTTCTCTTTAGGGGGTTACTGCTTTGCAAACGCACGAGTTCGACAAAATCTTATCAGGTAAAATTGATGAATCAATTAAAAAGTCTCGGTTTCTATATAAGAAATACTTTATAGATCTATTATGAGATGTATGGGTAAAAAGGTACCACTGCTTGAAACCACTTCAACTGCAGGAATTGCCAGTACCAGCAGTCATAATATTAATGTTCAAGGTGTAAGTAAAGTTTCAAAAAAAAAACATCTAGTTTGTTAGTACAGCTAGCACTAGCACTCGTTAATTTTTTATCTGCAGAGATCCGCGTTGTCTTATCGAGGGCCTGGTTTTGAAAGTACGAGACGAAACGTTGGAATTTCAACTTCCAGCACTACATCGCGTTCCACCACCAAAACCAGCTCTAGTCCTTACAGGTAAGTGTCCATTTACTTAAAACTATTCCTTTTTTATTTACAAATACTACGCCTGAAATTTGTGAAATATAAATTTGAATTTATTTATTGCAGAAGCGATGCTCAACTGCGTCAAACTTCTACCAGTACTTCAAATTACAATTCCACCAGCGATGTGCCCTCTTATTTGCGTGGATTTGAAAGAGACGGAACACATCGTCGACATCGTGAAAGTAAGAATATAATGATTTTTTATAGGATTAAAGAATTTTATAAAATGTTTTTTAAATGCAAGNTCGAGCTTTTTACACACTTATTTTGTACTTTTTTAGGAAATACTTTTAAGATCTCATATTTAGTAGCTTGCTAGGTTTATATATTTTTTCGAATTTTGGAAATAACGTACTTTTTTCGTATTTACTTTCACCGTGCAATTTCTACGTATACATTCCATGTTTTTTTTATTTTATATTCGATCGAAGGTTAAAACCGAAATAAACTATTTACAACCCTCATTTGAATATATTTTGTTTTACACCCTTCTAAAACTTTCTTTTGCAGTTTATAATCCTTTAAATTTATGAACTAAGATTTTTAAATAAACACTATAGTACTAACTTCTCAATTTTTCGATACTTTATAGGGTTTATAAGTTTTATTTATTTTAATTTTGTAATTTATTTGTATTTTACAGGGATCTTAAAAATCATTACAAGATAAACTTTGTAAGTGAACACTCTGTATTTATTCCACAATTTTTGTGTATTTTAGTCTAAAAATAATTTTTAAAATTTCATATAAGGGAAAATTTAGAATATTATTGGATTTTTGTATTCTCTTAAAGCTTCCTAATATCGTAATTTGAGAATTTACAGACTGATACTAATTTCTTTTAAGGCAAACCTATTTGAAACTTTTGTCGATTCTTTAGCCATTATATTTTATTTATCTATGATCTGACATTAGACAACACTTCGAATTTACAAATGGTGACATAACCTATTTAATGTGTGGAAATGTAGCTATTTGTAATTATTATGTAAAAATTATTACTAAATGTGTTTTTTATATTCATATGTAGTTAAAATGATAATTAATTTATAACTGTACAGAATGGTCCTATTTAGATTATAAGAATGGCCGTGGCAAGTTGGATGTTAGGAAATCGAAATCATCGTTCTGGCAGGTTCAATAGAAGTAATTTATAATATGTTATTCGTAAATAACTATCCTACTAATCGTTTGCTTCCTTTTTTAAGGTCGTTTAGAAAATAAGGAAGATGCTGTTAAATTGGATCTTAATAGAGGTTAGTTTTTTAATTCATTTTATTTGCTGACTACTTTGTACTTGTTTGTAGATCCAAAAGAAAATGCCAAGGAAATTTTGGAATCTGTTTGCAAAAGTACAAACATAACAGATGGAAAAAGGATAAACTATTTGAATGCCTTTGTTAAATTAGCACTTCATATTAATGGTGATCTATCAAAAATTTCATTATCGATTGAAGATATTTTATGTTGGTTGGTTAAAAATCAGCTATTGAATTTACAAATTATCTAAAAAATGTATTTACTTCAGTTTAAGGGTAACTTTAGTAAATGATTCTACCCAGGTAAGAGCTGCAGGTTTAAGAGCAATACGTCATATAATTAGAACAGCTACAGATCTAGTATCCTTTAATAAGTTGCTTATCCCCTTTTTAGTAGTACGGTGAGCAAAATTGAAAATAACAATGTTGTTCATATACTGATAATAATAAAAATGTGTAGGTCTTTGGATCTGGCCTTAAGAAATGATGTTGAAAGAGTGCAAGCACTGCGTTTGATGAGAAAAGTCTTGATGTTATCCTCTTCATCATTTGACATTGCAATGGCTAGAAGTTTAGTTTCTTTAACAAATGGTGGCATTGAAGAAAAAGATCGAATGTTAAGGGCTTGTCTTGCATGTTTATCAGAACTTGGTGAGATAAATAGTTAAAATGTGATTGTAACATATACTTTAATCTATAAAATTTTTATGATACAGGTGCTCTTAATCCTGATCTATTTATTCTATCTGGAGGAGTAACTGCAACAACTCGTAATTTATTAGAGTGCCAATTGCCTAAAATAGCAGAATCTCTTTGTGGTGTTTTGCTGTTATTATTAGATAAACCAAATACTAGAAATTCTGCGGCAGTCGATCTGTTTTGCATAGCAGCACCATACTGTGATTTTCACTACAAACATAGCTGGAGGGATAAAAACAGGTGATTTTTAGCACATTTGTGTGTAATTTTTTGAGTACACTTAATTATTGTTTAGGGACGAACGAGAGCTGCGATTTAATTGCAGTCGTTTAGCTTTATTATCAATTTTAAGAAGCTGGTCTGGTATAATGCAGTTTTGTAATCCTTCAAGCTCTTTAGGACTTAAAGCAATTGTGGATGTTTTATATTTAAACCAATTAGAAGTCAGGGTAAGCAAATACATTAAATTTAATTTTGAAAAACTTAGAAATGTTTCATTTTTGTTTAGAAGGCACTTTTAGATCTTTTATATGAACTTTTGGGGCTGCCTCAACCTGAATGGACGGACGAATTATCGGTGGCGTTAAGTGCAGTGGACCCAGCCGAACCACAGTCGTCATGGCGCTTAAACGAAGGTTTCGTGGTCGCCGAAGGACGATCGATCTTGCCACATCTTACCAGAACCTCCCCCAGTATTATTGACATGCATTTGTCGCTACTTTTATATTGTTTTTTAGAAACAGGTTTACTGAATGCTCTCGCCGAAGTTTTAGCAACGAGTGACACGTTTATTAGCGTTAGAGCCACCGTTTTATTAGGTGAGCATAAAAAATTATCTGTACATAAGATATTTTGTAAATCCCAAAGTTTACCTTTCTTTTTTAGGCGAACTTTTACGTTTGATACAAATATTTCTTCCACCTGAGTGCTGTAACATTACCCCTGCTTTGCCTAATTTGTTGGGCTACGCCACCTCACGACCTCAGGCTTTAGGTGCTGTAACTGCCTTGCAACAACTTCATAAGTAAGCTTTTAAAATTTTTAAAACGAATATATGTTTCTAACAAAACAAATGTCTCAAACCTGTATGATTACTCTTTTGTAATTCATTTTTAATTTAAATCTTAATACTTTTTTTTTTATCAGACTGATGAAACGTAGACCGGCATCGTCGAGCTTAATCTGATATTATATTTTGTACTTCCCTTTGAACTAGAGTGAAGATTCTATATGATCCCAGTGCCTCGAGCTTTTTACACACTTATTTTGTACTTTTTTAGGAAATACTTTTAAGATCTCATATTTAGTAGCTTGCTAGGTTTATATATTTTTTCGAATTTTGGAAATAACGTACTTTTTTCGTATTTACTTTCACCGTGCAATTTCTACGTATACATTCCATGTTTTTTTTATTTTATATTCGATCGAAGGTTAAAACCGAAATAAACTATTTACAACCCTCATTTGAATATATTTTGTTTTACACCCTTCTAAAACTTTCTTTTGCAGTTTATAATCCTTTAAATTTATGAACTAAGATTTTTAAATAAACACTATAGTACTAACTTCTCAATTTNGGACATGTCCGAATCGACACATCGAACGTTCCTAAGACGCCTTGCAGATTTTTATACTCCTTCAAGTAACAGGTATTCTCATATGGATCTTACATCGTCCAAGAACGCGCAAGGTTACACACTCGTTGGTATAGAACTTATTCTGTGTTTGGTGCATTTAGAAGATTCAGAAAGTACTAAGCTTCTTCTCGACCTGTTTAAAGATATCTCGAAACACATTGCTGCCATAACGATGAGTAAAAGTGCCCACGACTGTCTCTTCAGCCCTCAACATATGAACAACACCCAGTGCCAAAGTTACTTTCTGTTTATAGGAAGACTCGGTAGTACACGGGCTGGTGTCGACCTGCTTAACACCCTTAAAATTTTTACTCAGTAAGTAAAAGGAAATAACACAAATTTTAAAAATAAATGAATTTGATTGTTGAAGCACTTAATTTTTGGAACACTTCATTTTTTTTAACACAGTGTTCTATTTCCTTAGAAAAAATATTCTATTATTAACTAACATAAATCTTGGAAATTTCAGATTACAAGATTTGGTAACAACTACCAATCACGACTGTTACGTGAAACTGATTGTTTCCTCCCTAGAATACAAAGATGCTGGCCCTGCTCGCGATCTTCTCGCTGCCGTATTAAAGTGTTCAATTGAAAGTTCCCGTTTATATGCCACACAGTTCCTACAAGTTTTATTACGCGCAGGGATGCCTCATTTTGCCTACTGGGGTATTAAATTACTAGCTGGTCAGTTGAACGATAAATCCCGTACGATCCGTTTGGCTGCATTATCCGCTTTACATGAAGCTTGCGAAGTTCCTTCCTGTCTTGAACATCTTGTCAAGCTCAATCCTGAACTTTTACACTTGGAAGAAAAAGGAGTGTTGCTTTTAATACGGTTTCTATCTATTCCTGCGGGATTTAACGCTTTAAAGAAAAACGATTTTGTAGTCAACGAAATTAAGAGATGGGATGAATATTTTAATCATCGGTATGTTTGATAATTTCACAAGAATATTTTTTTAAGGTAGTATAATCTAATAAGGTAGAAATATTTCGTTTTTTTTCAGTTATGTTAGAATAGTTGAAGGCGAAACATCAGATTCGTTAACGTTACATCAAAGAGGCGAAGACGGCAGGTACGATAAGAGATTTAGCTCTTTAAAAATTGTCAATCGAAAGGACCTGTTTTTACCTCCCCATTTATATGGTCAAATATCAAGACATTCGACCGGCTTTCAAACATTAATCGAATATGGTTCAGTAGAAAACTATATGCAGGTATTATATTTTTTAATGAAGTTTACACAGAAATGTTAACCGAAAAAACTTTAGTGCGTTGAAAATGGATTTTGCGATACAGACCAGGATATCGAAAATTTAAAAGTTGCACTTTGGGCTGTGGGTCATCTTGGAAGTACTTTGAAGGGAATTGAATTTTTAACAGAACGAGACATAATACGATACATAATTCGTATTGCACAGCACTGTCCTGTTTATTCTCTTAGAGCTACTGCATTTTATAGTCTAGGTCTTGTGGCAGTAACAAAGTTCGGAGCCGATCATCTCTTTAGATTAGGTGAGAATAAATTTCAACTTAATATTTTAGATTATTACATACGTATTAAAAACTAACAAACTGCACTTTTGTTGCAAATCCTCATCCTTTTATGTTCAGTAGACATTTTTAAATACATTTTTTACTATTCAGGTTGGGTGTGTACCAGACATGATAGACACAATCGTTATCCAATTATAGAAGAAGAAAACTGGTCTGAGGAACATCCAGATGGAATGGTGCAAAGTGTTAATTTTGGATCAGATTCAGAGTACATGTCAGGCGATCAGCCTTTTAATCTTGATTATTACTTAAGTATTCCAGACGTAGATAGTAATGACGATGATTTTTTGTACGAAGTAGATGGAGGTAAATTATTTATTTGTTTATTTTTTTTTTT